CGCGCGCCTGCGAGCATCTAATGCCGCCGCCGGTCTGGCCGCGGGGCCTCCCCCCTCCCGCTCGCCGCCCGCCGGCCCTCGCCTCCTGCTGTGCGTCGGGTTCCTAAGAGGCCACTCGCCGTCGGCGGCCCGGGGTTGGGCGCCCCTGCCTTGAACTGAGCGCAGAGAGGGTGACTTCTCAGCAGCTTCAGGCGCTTTCAGTCTGGACCCCTTTCCGTGAGTATGTCCTGCGAGTCCGGCCCGAGCGACCCTGCCGCCGGTCTCGGGGACCCGGGAGGGGCTCCTGGGCGGTGGTTGGATCGGAACTCGTGCGGCTCCGTCCGTGAGGACCGGATGTTGCAGGTGGACCTAGTACCTGGGCTGCCGCCCTCGGCCCGGGGCGGACGTGCACTTTCGCGCTGAAAAACCCAGAAGGTGGCGGTCGCCCCAGTTTCCCACACCTGGGAGCCCGAGACGAGAACCTGGGCTCGGTTCCGAGGGTTTTGCCTGGCCAAGTCGCGAGCAACGAGAGGGAAGGGCTGCGGCCTGGCCTGGTGCCGTTCACATAGAAATTAGTTGCTTTTTCTTTACATGTGTGCTTGTCTGTACTTTTTGGAGGTGATTGGTACATTCAGATATGTGGGGATGGAATCCTAAATTTGCTTGACTCGGGTTTTTTTCCAACATATATTGTAAGATCACAGCCTCGTAGTCTTTGTCCCAGAGTTCTCTGAACCCATGTGTTTAATCTGAAAATAGGAGATACTTTCATCCGCTTTTGTCTTCAGTTTCTGAATATTTCATGTGCTATCTGACGCGGCCCGTCCGTGTGCTTGTTTTTAACACATGAGGATTCATGTTTTCGTGTTTCAAGACACACACATGATAGAGATGTGAGCGCCTAGTCCAACAGTGTGATGTGGCTTAGGGCAAGACAGGTGTGGTTATGAGGAAGAAATAGGGACACTTCGGGTTGGGGTTCCACGGTAGAGAGGAGAATGAGGGCAGGAGGTGTGCTGTGTGAAACCAGAATACCTGGGAGAGGATGGGAAGCAGGGAGGCCTGAAGAGGACAGGGCAGGGCAGTGGGTGAATTCCTGGGGCTGCCCCCCAGGGGAGAAGGGGCCAGTGTGGAAACTGA